AAAATAATTAAAAAAAAAAAAGTAATAAAAAAGTCCGGCAGCTGCTGACAGGCAGCGCCGGGAGAGGGTGCTCTGCACCCCCGAGCCGCGGGCAGGGCCCCCGGCCGCAGCCTGCCCGCCCCCGGGGCTGGCCCTGGGCCCCCTCCACCCCGGGGTGTCCCCGCCCTGGGCCGGGGTGCTGCGGGAATGCTCTGTCCCACTGGTCCCCTGCACTGAGGATGTTCCGTTGTGGGTGTGGGGTAAGGAGAGCAGGACTTCTGCATTGGAGGTGTCCTCTCCTGGGCGAGGAGAAAGGGGAACAGGACCCCTGCACCAGAGCTAGGATGGGAGCAGGACCAGCTGCTCAGGGGCCTTCCACTGTTGAACCCACCCCAGGCCTCTTAGGAGTGGGGATGAGAGCGAGAAAGCAGAATCCATCAGGCTTTTGCTATCACCCCATCAAACCTGTGTGGGGGTACTTGTGGAAAAGTGATGAGCCTGGGGTGCTTTTTCTGGCAGGAGCTCTGCTCTGGGGGTCCTCGTGGTGGCTGGAGAGGGCTTTCAGTGTGATCCATATTGCCTGAGGGACTGCACTCTTCTCTTGAGCATCCCAAACACCCCAAATGCAGGGCTTGGAGCCAGGGTGCCCTTTCCCAGGAGGAAATCCTACACTTTGGAAATGGGTCCTGAACACGTAGGGAAACACAAAGACTTGAAACTGTCCCATCTAAAAAAATAATGTGAGGAGAGGCAGGTTCTTCTAAATGTTTTGATTTTGATTATTTTAAAAATACCTTTTAAAAGTTTTATTTTTATACATTTCTGAATGACCACACATTTTGACCTGAAAACCCTTTGGCACTACCCAGAACTGCTGAAATAGGAGTGTTTGAACCTGGTCACGAGGCTGTGCCTGTATGGAAACATCGCAAGTTTTTGTCAACAAGTTTCTATTCTGACATTTTCCAAATATCCCCTGGGAGAAGTCCAAGCAGCCTGCGGCTCTGGGGATGCCAACACCTTGGCACTTCGCCTGGGCGCCGAGGGAGTGGAGGTGCCTGGTCGTCCTGTCACGTTCGACTCGGAGGTGTTTTTCTTGCCCTGGTAACCCTGGGATGGGGGAGATTGTGAAACACCACATGGATGGGAGGGTGGGGAAGGCGAGGGGCAGGCCCATGCTGCCCCAAGTCTCCCGGGGACTGGTGGGACCAGTTGCCTGCGTCCTCTTGGGTGGGTGCTGCTTAACCTGAGTGAAGTTTTGTGAGTCACAGCAGCTCCTGGCATCAGCTCCCACTGCTCAGAAACCACCGAGAGCGCCTCACTTCTTATCTCTCCCAGCACTTCAGAGTGGGGCAAGTCTCCTTCCCTGCATGAGAGTAATTTGGGCTGAGTAGATGTTTGTGGGATAAAAGTGCAAGGTGCTGGTCTCCACCTCTCCAGGGTTAATTAAAAATCCCGGTCCAGACTTCAGAGACTGAAGGTCTACAGGGGCAAGCAACAAAGCACATGCAGATTTCCAGGCTGAGTATGCGTTGCTGGGGCCGTGGCTGCAAAGAGAAGCAACTGTGTGGGCAGCTGATGAGGAGTCTGTCCAGCTGCCATCACGTCTTGCTGGTGCACAAAGGTCCAGTAGTCTGCACATGTGCTTGTGGAAATTTCTGCTTTTAACTGTGGGGTGCTGAGGGGCTGCTTGGGGATGCCCTTGTGCCACAAAGTGGGGCTCCAGTTAGGATTTCTATTGACAGTGGTGGAGAAAAAACAGCTTGGTCACATCAGGCTAAGGCATTGAGCCAGCAGGGCAGAACTGGGGCTTGGGGATGGGCCTGTTCAGCAAGGCCAGCTCCAGCACCCCAATCCTCATCCTCTGCTGCAGGCTCTGGTGTGACAACCCTGTGCTTCTAGAGATCGCTGACTTTTGGAGACATGGCTGCCCAGACCGTGCTATATCCTTCCTACAGCCTGTGGGTTCATGTGAGGCTGCCTGCCAAAAGCTCTGCCTGTGCTACCCCAAAGCTCTCTAATTCCAGCTTGATTTTAGCAATTCCTTGGTTTCTCCAATCTCTCCTTTGGATATGTGCCTGACCGGTAGGTCTTTCATCTCAGCCCTGCTTTATCCTTCTCTGCCCCAATACACTGAAAACTTGTTCCCTTTTCAGGGCAGCACTTAAACAGCCATAAACTACTCTGCTCAGCTGCTCTTGAGCAAAGCAGGGGCTTTCCATGGCATCATAGGGGTAAACCAGAGCACCCCAGGGGAGCACAAAGGCCTGGAGGCTGCACGTAGCAGCCTGGAGAAAAAGGGGACTGTGGCACCCAGGGGATTCCTGCCCAGGCAGACAGGAAAGCAGAGGTGGTGTGGTGGCCCCACCTGAGGCAGCTTCAGCTTGTTTTGAAGTTTGCTCTAATGTCTTTTTTTGGTGTTATCTTGATCTCTCCCCAGGAATGACAGCAGCTGGAGACATCTCCAGGGTTTTGTCTAGAAAAGTGAGACGAGGAGGCTTTATCACATGCTCAGCTGAATTGCCGTAAATGGGATAACAGCTGGAAAGTCGAGTTAATTTGTACCAATGGTCATTTAAAGTGTTTGCCAAAGCTTATGGATAAGAAAAGCATCTGTGCAAACTGTTTAAGTGTCTCTTGTGGCTCTCTCTCTGGTTCCAGCTGGTAAGGACTGGGCACAACAGGATGGCAAGTGTCAGTGCCAGCCCTGCATGGTCTATTTGCAGAGTGGTTCTGTGAGTGCAGATGGGGTCATCCCTTCTTATTTTTTGGGCCTTTTTTGTTTGTATGTCTTATTTTCAGAAACCCAGTGTGTGGAAAAAAAAACAAAAAAGAGAGGTGGATGATATTTTGCTGGAAGGCTTTTGGTGATGAGTTGGCCTGTGGTGATGTCTGATGGGTCCTGGTAGAGCTGCAGCCCGAGCAGTGGACAGAGAGTGGTCATGGTTGCAGCCTTCGGCCCAGCTCATCATTTGCAATGTTTGCTTTTGTAAATGAGAGGTAATGAAGTGCTGGCTGCTTTTCTTCAATGCAAATCCAAGGTGTTTAGCCAGGTCTGCTGAGACCTCCTGACTCGTGATTCGATTTTGCATGGGTGAGATAGCTGAAAAAACTGTTTGAATTGCAGAAGTTCTCGTATATGTTGGAGCCCAAAAAAAGTCTCAGGCTCTTTTAGTGGGGATATAGGTCACACATACTTCTGCCTTGAGGCAGTGCAATGATTTCAAGTCATTCCTGTCCCTGCCTGTGCTTTTCAAAGCAAAAAGATGTGGGTTAACCTGTTCCCAAAGTCTTTTATTCTCTTTTTTCCCCCATGGCAAAATGAAGTGGAAAAGGATGGGAATAGGGAAGTGAAACCTTCGCTCACAATGGCTGTGAGAAGCAGAAAAACATGTGATGCCAGGAGCTGAGGTGAGGGGCTCTGCTCCCCTCCCAGCCCCAAACACAATGCTCCTTCTGTGCCCGTGCCTCTCCCCATGCATCCCTATCCTTATCCCTGTCCTCCGGCTGCTCCAGGGCCTCAAAGTGAAAACTAATCCCAGGGGATAACTTTCCGCTCGGTTCCCGGGTGGGAGGAACGGGCTATTTATTCCTCACCCTTAAGCCTCGGCAGTGGATGAGCGGCGCAGTTGTCGCTGCCGGCTCGGGGTGGGCAGCAGCATCCACCGCGTCCCCTGCCTGCTCCCACGCCCTGCCTGCACCCTCCCGCCGGCCTCGCTGCTAAATAAGGACGAAAGGCTAAAAATAGAGCTGAGACGGGGGTTTGGACAAGCCAGGCAACCCTTCCCAGGGCTGGGAGCAATATGGGGAGGCCAAGCAGCGTCCGTGTGCAAGGGAGAGCAGAGCTGACTGTGGGGAAAGGTCTCACAGGTGGCTCCTGAATGTGCTGTGGCAGGGGGAGAAGATCTGAGACCTGCCACGCTTGTGTCCTCTGTGCTCAGTTGACTCAGTCCCCTCTGCAGGATAAAAGCATCCATCCACCAAAATATATGGGAAAATCCATTCTACTGTGCCAGTCCTGATGGAAGGGTACACGTGTGACCGTTCCTGCATGATGGGGGTGCCTGGGGCAGCCCTGGCTGGAAAATGATCCACAGAACAGGGGGTAGGGATGGAAGAGGGGATGTTAAATACAATATTTCACATGGACGGGTGGTAGGGGTATTGTGGCAAACTGCCCAGTCAGGGGCTACCCGATGCCAGTGTCCCCCCTCCCCACCCCCGCTCATACGCATCGGGTTCGAGGGTCTCAGATATCTGAAATAGCTGAAATATCTGAAATATCTGAAATATCTCTGCTCTTCAGCTGCCAGCTGCCCTGTGCGGAGCGCGGGGGGAGCGTGGGGGTCCCGGGTACTGAGCAGAGGGTGGCGACCCTCGCACAGCCGGGGCACCCCCGAGTGGGACGTGGGGACAGCCGCAGCCCTGGGCCGAGGGGTGGGTGGTGGGGAGGTGGTCGTGCTGCCCCCATGGGAGCGGGGTGATGTGTGTGCCCCGGTGGGTGGGTGCAGCTCCCAGCCCCCCGCTCCAAGTGCCGGCTCTGGGAGGTTGGGAAAGCGGCGCCTCCCGTCCCAGCATCCCTGCGAGTCCAGTCCTGCGCTTGGCAGCGAAAC